AATGTTGAGATGTGCAGAAAAAGGTGCTCAGGGAGGGCTTTTTCAAAATCCCATTATGTTCAATGGAACTTCCCATTATGTTCAATGGATCAAAACTTCCCAAAACTTCCCATATAACTTCCCATTATGTTCAATGGATCAAAATGATGCCAGGACAGCTTGTTTTGCTAACCCTAACCCTTCCCTGGCGCACACCCCAACCCTAATACAGGGCAAAAGTTCCACTGAAACTCATGCAGTTTTGAAAAAGCCCTCCTTGAGTAGCTTTCTCTACACATCTCAACCTTTCTGCCCATTCTAAACACATTCCCACCATCAAAAACATGCCAGGACGCCTCATTTTTCTAACCCTAACCCTACCCTGGTGCACAACCCTAACCCTAATATAGGGCAAAAGTTCCACTGAACATGATGGGATTTTGAAAAAGCCTTCCTTGAGTAGCTTTTCCTGCACTGCTCAACATTTCTGCCCATTCTAAACACATTCCAACCATCAAAAACATGCCAGGATGCCTTATTTTTCTAACCCTAACCCTACCCTGGTGCACCACCCTAACCCTAATATAGGGTAAAGTTCCATTGAACATAATGGGATTTTGAAAAAGCCCTCCCTGAGCACCTTTTTCTGCACATCTCAACATTTCTGCCCATTCTAAACACATTCCAACCATCAAAAACATGCCAGGATGCCTCGTTTTTCTAACCCTAACCCTACTCTGGTGCACCACCTAACCCTAATATAGGATAATGTTCCATTGAACATAATGGGATTTTGAAAAAGCCCTCCCTGAGTACCTTTTTCTGCACATCTCAACAATTCTGCCCATTCTAAACACATTCCAACCATCAAAAACAGGCCAGGATGCCTTATTTTTCTAACCGTAACCCTACTCTGGTGCACCACCCTAACCCTAATGTAGGGTAATGCTCCATTGAACATAATGGGATTTTGAAAAAGCCCTCCCTGAGTACCTTTTTCTGCACATCTCAACAATTCTGCCCATTCTAAACACATTGCAACCATCAAAAACATGCCAGGACACCTCATTTTTCTAACCCTAACCCTATTCTGGTGCACTACCCTAACCCTAATATAGGGCCAAAGTTCCATTGAACATAATGGGATTTTGAAAAAGCCCTCCCTGAGTACCGTTTGCTGCACATCTCAACAATTCTGCCCATTCTGAACACATTCCAACCATCAAAATTGTGCTAGTACACCTTGTTTTTCTAACCCTAACCCTACCCTGGCGCACACCCCTAACCCTAATATAGGGCCAAAGTTCCACTGAAACTCATGCGATTTTGAAAAAGCCCCCCCTGAGTACCTTTTTCTGCACATCTCAACAATTCTGCCCATTCTAAACACATTCCAACCATCAAAAACATGCCAGGACACCTCATTTTTCTAACCCTAACCCTATTCTGGTGCACTACCCTAACTCTAATATAGGGCCAAAGTTCCATTGAACATAATGGGTTTTTGAAAAAGCCCTCCCTGAATACCTTTTGCTGCACATCTCAACAATTCTGCCCATTCTAAACACATTCCAACCATCAAAATTGTGCTAGGACACCTTGTTTTTCCAACCCTAACCCTACCCTGGCGCACACCCCTAACCCTAATATAGGGCCAAAGTTCCACTGAACATAATAGGATTTTGAAAAAGCCCTCCTTGAGTACCTTTTTCTGCACATCTCAACATTACTGCCCATTCTAAACACATTCCCACCATCAAAAACCTGCCAGGACACCTCGTTTTTCTAACCCTAACCCTACCCTGGCGCACACCCCTAACCCTAAGATAGGGCAAACGTTCCACTGAAACTCATGCGATTTTGAAAAAGCCCTCCTTGAGTAGCTTTTTCTGCATATCTCAACATTTCTTCCCATTCTAAACACGTTCCAACCATCGAAATCAAAAGGGGATCCAGGCGTGTGGATTTCTAGCTGCAAGGCCCGAGTAATTCTCTGACTTCATAACAGGAATTCCAGAGTCCTGTGGTTGTCTAGAAGGTCTATAGAGACACTGGATTAATTTCATTAACTTCTGTGACCAAACATAAGGTTATTGATATATTGAACCCCCTTTGATGCCTATTAAATTCAATGGCATTTCTTATGTGATATGGGTTTTGTGAGTTGAAAAAAATTGCCATTTTTATACACTCACTGATAATATTGTAGGCATGGGGTTTAAAATGGAATAAATTAATATTTTAAAATTCCATTACAAAAATCTTTGACATGAGTGCACTTGGAATACTGTTCCCACTCAGTTCAATGGACCTCCAAAGGATAGTGCAAAACTGAAAAAAAAGTTCAGAAGGGGATTCAGAAAGTGATTGAGGGACTGGAGTAGGTACCCTATGGGCAAAGATCACATTTTTGGCTTTTTAGTTTAGAAAAATTGTGAGCAAAGGGTGGGGGACTTGCTGGAAGGTAATACAATTATACAGAAGAAATGATGGGGAGACATTTTGCTTCTTCTTTCAGAGCACTGGATTCTGAATTCCAGCGAGAGCTGCATAACAGATGATTCAGGAGCAATAAAACCAAGTCCTTCTACAGATCGTCTGTAGCAAACCAGTGGAATTCGTTTCCCCGAAAAGCAGTGGCCCACATGGACGGCTTTAAGGGGGGATCAAGCCAATTCACAGAGGAGAAGGCCATCGGTGACTCCCAGTCCAGCGTCAGAGAAGCGCTTGCGTGTCTTGAGTCTCAGCATCGCTCGCATGCTGAGGAAACATGAGCAGGGTGGTTCCTTCCTGTCCTATTGCTGGACTTCCCACAGACACCCAGTTGCACCGGAATGTTGTTGTTGTTGTTGTTGTTGTTGTTATTATTATTATTATTATTATTATTATTACTACTACTACTACTACTACTACTACTATTAGAACATTTCTATGCTGCCCCTTGCCGAAGCCTCGGGGCAGCTTACAACACAATAAGATACAATACAATACAAAATAACACTATAAAATTAAAATTAATAATATTAAATAAATAAAAAATAAATATAAACGATATAAAAGAAGTTATAAAAGAAAAGTTATAAAAGAAAAGAAAAGAAGAAAAGGAAAGGAAAGGAAAGGAAAGGAAAGGAAAGGAAAGGAAAGGAAAGAAGTCGTCCTGGCCAGATGAATAAGTGAATATTGTTAACAATTAAAATGACGTTTAAATAAAAAGGTCTTCACCTGGCGCCGAAAAACAAATAACGAATACCAGGACATGAACGCCTGGAATCCACTCAGTTCTTGTTAGGTTCTTGTCTCACTGCCTAAAGACATGCTTGGAGAACAGAGAGCACTGCAACTTCCAAAGCTCCTCTGTTGGAGAAACCGCCAGAGGATTCCTAAAGCAGAAATCCCTCCCTCCTTTGCTCAAAGGCCCCACGTTGTATCATTGGGGGGGGGGGGGGGCGGGGGGGGGGGGGGAGCCAGCGCTCCAGTTGCAGCAACTTACCTTTTCTTTTAAATGCTATTTTGAGTAGATTCGTCACCGGTCTCCCAGAGAGTTCCTCGGAATGGCCGATCAGGCCTTCTTTTACGGTTTGGTATCCGGACAGAATGACGATAGGGTACTGCGCTATCCAGAGAGTGCTGAGGCTTCCATATTGCTTGGCCAGCTGTTGTGTGGGCCCAAACAGAGAAAAGGCAGGTGTCATTCAAAGCAAGCACATCGTTTCAAACGAACGCGCGAGCACTGCAACTGGCCGTGGGCAACCCCCACCCCAAATGCCCTGCGTCCTTTCCACTTCCCCTTTCCATCTCAGCTCCCTGACTGTTGGCTATCGATCATGATTTAGATAAGTAACGTGCCTTCTGGTCACTGATCCTCACACAGCAGCTTAGAAAGACTCCAAATTAGTTAAGAATCAGCGTGAAACTTAAAAACCAGGCAAAGCATAACCAGAAACCATCTGCAACCGCATTGTGTTCGTTTCGCTTTTTCCACGTACAGCGCAATTCAGTAAATGCAGACGGAGTGGAGGACTGTTGAAGTCGTGCTGCAGGCAGGAGCCTGAACCAGGGAACCGTCATCCATGGACCAGTATGAATTCCATTTTGCTGAGACGGGACAAGCACATGGGGTATGGATCCAGGAAAGGTGAAATATATTCATTTTGTATTCATTTGTCATGTTTATGGCTCAGTTCCTATCAAAATCTGAACAGAACAAAATTCTTCCCCATGCAAGATGCAATCTAGCCAAGGCGAGCGGAGTCACCTGTGGAAACACGGTCCCTGCACAGCCTCCATGATGGCATCCCAGACCTGGGCAACTCTGCAGCAGGTGTATAGAGAGCAACCTGTTCAGCTGCTTGTGAAACTCACGATAAGTGAAAATAATAAAAGCAATGACAAGTAGAAACCATGGCCCTTTGAGTCATCTTTTACACAACTGGATAATTACTGCAACAATAACTATTAAGAGATTAAAGCAACAACTCATAAATGTTAGCTACTTGCTATATGGATTTACCATGTAAATTGACTTAGGAAATTAGGGAAGACCTGTTTTAAGAGTTAATACCTCTGTTCATGTTCTCTCTTTCTCCCTCCCTCCCTCCCTCCCTCTCCCTCTCCCCTCTTTTGTGTTCCCCCCCCCCCCCCCACTGGACAGATTTTCCTTACTTCTCTCCCTTGACACTGGCAGGTGGGAAATTAATTACACTGCTTGCAGGACAGCATAAGACAAGCCCTACCAGATGGGAGCAAAGGGCTGCCGGCCCAGCAACCTCCCTGAGGGAAGCCCCCAGGCAGAAATGAGTGCACTTGCTCCTTGCTGCTCCTGTTCCTGAGCAACCACTATCCCCAGAAACAGAACCACCGTGGCTGGTGACCTTTTAGCCCATGCCTAGCTCGAGCCATCCAGCTTGGGGGCTCCTGGAAGATGCATGGTTTCCGCCAACGTGCCCTCAACATGCCCTTGGAGCGCCTCACTCCATGCACAAACGTCATCGCAGCAGAACCTCCTGCCGCTGTTCTAGGATGTCTTCTCCCTCTCTCGCACACACATCCTTCCGTTCCCCCTTGACAGGCAGGACTGTGGGTCTTATGGCCCATCAGGTGGCTAAGACGCCTTCCTCAAAGTATCATAGCATTTCTCTTGAGCTCCAATGGCTCTGTCTAGGCAGGACAGACACAAGAACATGATGCCACTCTTATCTTCAGAGGGCTGGACTAAGATTTTAGTGGGGCAGGAATGAAATCTCCCAAAAAAAAAAAGTCATAGAATCATAGAATTCTTGAGTTAGATGGGACCAGGAAGGCTACTGAGTCCAACCACATGCCCAGTGCAGGACTCTGATTTAAAGCATCCTGGCAGATGTCTGTCCAGCTCCATCTAGAGTGCCTGCAAAAGTCAGGAAGGTTCGCCAGAATCGGGTTCCTCCAGAATCTGGATTCCTGCAACCTGAACCCGTTCTTCTGTGTCCTGTACTCTGGCATGACGGAGAAGAGCTCTTGGCCCACTTCTTTGTGCCAACCTTTCAAGTCTTTGAAGATCACTATCTCAGGTTCTGCAAGGAATCCACTTTGGGAGGAAATCAGCTGGATTCCCCCGTTTCTGCTTCCCAGACTCCAGTCCACTGGGCAGTAGCCTGGAGTCCCCATTCCTGGCGAGCCTGCCCAGGGTCAAGCCCCAAGCGCCATGACGGGCTGCCAGGAAAGGTGGGCCCTCTTGCTGCCCCCCTTTCCCACACACTGCATCCATCGCCAGCAGCGAGCAGGGAGGGAGGTTGGCTGCTGGGAATGGTGGCTGGGGAATGTCCCCAGTGGTGCAACCTGGGCTGTGCGGATGCTGGTGGACTTCCCCTCGGCTTGGCTCTCTTCCTTGGAGAGGGATGAGCCCTGGAAGAAGCCTGATGGGAGGGCATGAGCCAGGTTCCAGGGAGACTGGCACATCCATAGCCCCCTCGTATCTCCCCTCAGTCTTCGCTTCCCAAGGTCACACGTGCCCAGTTCTTTCAGTCTCTCCTCATCAGCCTTCAGTTCCAGTCATCGGACGAACTTCCTTGACTTCTGGTCCTTTTCCCGTTTGCCTCCCTCTTTCATAGTCTGTGGTGCCCAGAACTAGACCCAGGACTCCCAGTGAGGCCTACCCAGTATGCGTAGACGGGAACCAGTATCTTACCGACTGCCCAAAATAGCATTTGTCTTTTTTGAAGCGTCATTGCATTGTTGACTCGTATTCAACTTGTGATCTACAACAATTCCAAGATCCTTCTCACTTGTAGTATCGTTGCACCAAGAATCCCCCCTCTTGTAACTGTGCATTTGGTTTCGTTTTCCTTGACCTTTGCCCTTGTTAAATTTCATTCTGTTTTTTCAGCCCAGCCCCATAACCCATCGAAGGCATGCTGCATTTTGTTTTTTTCTTCTAGGGCACTGAAGAAAGACCTACCCAATTTTGCATCAGATGAATCAGATATATTTCGTTTAGTCAAACTCTGAAGACTCTTCATAAGCTCAAGGGTGAAATACCTTTTTGGAAAATCAAGAAATGGGGTCTGAAGAAATGAGCAGCCTAATGTTCCAGATCAGAAATCCAGCATCATGTGCAACGCATTCCAGTACAGTCAAAATTTAATGCCCAGAAGCCCTCCAACTCAGCGACTTATGGCCATACAGTGTATGGCGAGAGCCCACATCACAAGGACACGACTCCTGCTTTGCTTTCCAGCAGCGGATCAAGGCGAAAGCCTTCTGAAATGCAGCCTGGCCAGCCAGGGCTGGCTTGGCAATACAGAGGGCAAAAAATAAAGTTTTTAACAAGCAGCAACTTTCAAAGTAATGATTTGGTTGGTGAAGCTAGCTCTTGCCCAGATTATTCCGTTCGTTCCGAACTGAAGCCCCTTCTCCTCGCCCCTCCCAAAGCAGCTGCTTCGGCCCTCGTGTCAGGGAGGTTCATACTGTTTGTAGACCAGACCCGGGGGGGGGGGGGACTGGACCTTCCTTGACTGGTTCGTCTTGGCAAGAATCTCCTGGCTTGATGATCTCATGAGGCTCCCCGCTGACTCTTCAGTGTCTCCCTCCGAGCCAGAGGGGGTCCGCTTCCCACCAGCCACTTGCTAATCTCACGCGATGACCCCTCCATCTTTCACCGATACCTTCCAGCCTCCCCATCTCCATCCAGCTCGCCCTCAGACTCCGAGCTTTCTGGCTTGGAATGCTGCATTTTGGGAGAAACCGGCCCAAACCCTTACACCATTCTGTGCACCCACATTTCATTGACGGCCATTATCAGCTGTCTGGTAATTTGGGGGGGGGCAGAATTTGGATACAGTGCATGGCATTGGCTCCCACCTCCTCCCCTTCCCACCCCACAGAAAGCTCCTTCGCCCTCTTGCCAAGAAGGCGGATGTTTGACCTGGTGGAGTGGGTGGGCTTCGCCCTCTCCTTGCAGCCTGGGCAGGGCGTGTGGGGAGCACCGTTCTTGGAATCTCAGATCTGAAGTCGCCAGGGCAACTTATTTTATACAGTTATGTGTATATTTATATTGTTGTTTATGTATTTTAATTTATTTATTTGTAAGCTGCCCCGAGGCTTCGGCGAATGGGGCAGCCTAGAAATTTCTAAATAAATAAGTCACAGGAACTCCAAGCTGGGACTCCAGTCATTCAGTGCCTCTCCAGACATGGGCAGGGGGGCCTTGGATTGCACCCTGAGTGAGATATATTGATTCCTAAATGTTCTGATTCAAATGGAGGAATTGTGAGGCGAGCTGGAATTAGAATTAAGTCCCGAGTGAAGTGGCAGATGGACAATAAACTGCTCCCCCTTCGCAAGAAGCCCGGCTGCCGAGGTCCTGTCCTTTTGTGAAGATCAGGCTTTTGCCCAGTGCCTTCCCTCCCACCTTTGTGGGAAAAGACAGCAAGAACGGAGTGCGAGCTAAAAGTATCTACCACCTCTGGCCCAGGTTTTGGGGTCAGCAGAGCCCAACTGGGCCTCGGTGGCAGAAAGAAAAGGATGCTTAAACGGGAACACTGGTCAGTGGGAGCGAAGAGTTATGGAACTGCAGTCTCCTCTCTCTGGATTTCTTTCCTCCAATAAGCTCCAAGCATTCATGGTCTGCCCCCGATTGTACCTTCACAATAACCCAGTGAGGTGAGCAAAACTAAGAGCCAAGTGATTGGCCAGGTAAGGGTTTGATCCTGGGTCCCGGTCCAATTCTCTTAATTGCTATGCCTCTTTGGTTCCCACAGGCAATTCCTGTAAGTCCCTGGCAGCAAGAAGCATGGAACATTAAAAGCAACCCACTTAATTGCACACTGAAATCAAAGCGCACATATGCAAATCAGAACCGATGTAACTGCCACATCCACACCCATGAATTTATATGCTGCAGCACAGCCTGAAAGTTTTGAATCACTTTGGAAGGGCAGCTCCAAGAAGCCTTGCAGAACACGCAAGCGATTATTTATCAGGAGAGGTTGTAGATGCCACTGGGGAAAAAGCCTTCCTGGACAATTTTCTCCTTACTTGTTTATTCTGGGTCATTTTCTATACCACCCCAAAGCTGCAATGCTTCCCTGGAAGGCTACAGGCAAGTTATAAAAACCATAAAGCCCATACAATAAAACAGATTAAAACATTGCCAATGTAACGAGAATATCGAACTTTTAAACACCCCACGGAGTCCAAGAGAAAACCCTGCACTTGTTCCAACAGTGCAATAGGACTTGCCTGGGAAATATCCCCGTGAAGCTTGATGCTTCACAGCAGATGTAACGATTAAGCACCAAGGATTAATTGCACAACTGGGGCCATTTTGAATCTGTTTATCCCGTGACTGATTTCTCTGAGAGCCACTGAGTTAAACCCCTTCTGCTAACATGATCAGAAAAGATATTCAAGGAGAAGGGTGTTCCTGATTTCCTCCTCAGAAAATGACAATAGTCTTATTTATTCAGCAAGTGGCTTTCTTATGACCTTTGCTGATTTCTGTTTTACAGGCAAGGCCTGGAAAAATAAGAGCTAGTGAACCAGTTCACTTGTAGTTACCAACCAAGGGAGTGTGTTGGAGTGAGAAAGATGCGCTGACCTGCACCCCACTCACTGTTTTCATACCCAGTTTCAAAACCAAGACATTCTGCATTCCTAAGTTGTTCAGAATAAGCTCTGAACCCAGAATTCTGGGTTCTTAAAGAGAACAACCTTGGTTTTTTAAGCTAAAATCCAGTTTAGTTCCACCACTTTGCCTCTGATAGCAATCTAACTTCAGGTAGGAAAGCACAAAACTTTTGTTTCAGCTCATAAATCACCAGAAAATGCCCCATTCATGAATGGGAATTGGAGTATATGCCCTCTGAAAATGTTTGCAGATTTACTGTTTATGAATTGCATGATAAAACAAATTATTCTTGCTTCAGGCTCATCATGTGAAGGCTGATTGACTCAGTGGAGAAGACAAACAGCTGGGGAAAGCTGAAGGCAAAAGACCAAGATGGATTGATTCATAGAAACATAGAAACAGAGCAAGTCAGAAGGGGTCTCCCGGGCCATCTAGTCTGACCCCTGGCTCCAGCCGGCTCCGCTCACGACATGCCCACCATGTGCACGTCCAGCCTGTCCTTGAACACCCGCACCGATGGGGCCTCAGCCACCTCCCGTGGGAGCCCATTCCACACCCTTGGGGTCCTATAAAGGATTCCATAAAGAAAGCCAACCTTGAATTCACAAATTCTTACATACTTGATGGCATGTAGGAAAAACAATATCAGTGGGTTTTATACTAAGTATAATATATTTCAGTGCTTTTTTAATCTTTGTGAACCATCCAAAGAACTTCAGCTGTTGGGTGGTACAGAAATGTAATCAGTGAAAGCATTAGTTCAGAAAAGATTTATTTCCTCACAGTTCTATTGATATTTAAAGAATCCTCTCCTGTCCATAATAATATAATATTAACAATATTATTTTGAATAATTATATTTATTTTAATATGTGGCAATATATATCTCAGTTATTGAAACTTGTGCAATAATTTGCTTTTGTCCTGTGCCATTGAGTCATCTCTGAGTTTTGGCAACCTTATGAATGAAAGCCCTCCAAAAGCTAGTTCTTCATAGCCTTGCTCAGTTCGTGTACGTACAAATATGTACATGTTACACACAGAGATACACTGGACCCTGCAGTGACAAAGGTGGGTGCAGAAGAACCCACAAGCTCTTCCAGAAGGAGTGCAGCCCCATCAAGAACAAGTTGACACCTTCAACTAGTCAGAAGTACCACCCACTAGGAACATTTCAGTCTTGCCTGCGTTGGGTTAGGAGATGCCTTCATCCATTCCAGGCACTGACTGAGCACCTCAACAGCCTGACCTCATGAAGATCAAAAGCAGAAATGGAGCTCAATATCATCAGAGAGCACATGCTAATGGGCAGCTTTAGAAACATAGAAACAGAGCGAGTCAGAAGGGGCCTCCCGGGCCATCTAGTCTCACCTCTGGCACCAGTTGGTTCCTCTCACAACATGCCCACCATGTGGACGTCCAGCCTAGGAAATAAATCAGCACCCTCCAAGATCTTGATGACCACAGCCAGTGACTTAATGGAGATGTTCAGTAGCTTGGGGAACAAAACCATCCTCTGTGGAGCCCAACCAAGGTTAATTAGGCTTAATTAATTAGTACACCACCCAACAGCTGACGCTATTGGGTAGTTCCCAGCAGGCACTTTTTTAATATATATATAAAATGCACCATTGAAACATATTAAAATATCATAAAAGTTAACAATGCAAAATTGAAAACCTAATGTTAAACAGGAAAAATATAATAACTTGAGAAAAACCCTGGTAAAGCCTGGCTAACAACCAGAAGACCCAAGTAAATAATCAAATGCCCTGCTAGAGAGGACAGTCTTCACCTGGTGCTGAAAAGATAGCAAAGCTGGTGCCGGGAAGGCCTCATGGGGAGCTCAGCCCACTATTGGGAGCCACCACTGGAAAGGCCCTGCTCCTGGTTGCCACCATCTGAGCCTCCCTTAGAGGTGGCAATCAGAGCAAGGCTCCAGAACGTGACAATACTGCTAACGGTCTTCAAAGGATTAGGGTCAGCGGTCTTAATTCTCCAGCCTTGCAGAGGGAAAAGGCGATCTTAAATCAGGCATCTGGAAATGATCGGACCATGAGAGGCGGACTGATTCTAAGCCCCCACTTTCAAACCACCATCTCTATGTCCTGTTGTAAAAACTAAGTCTAGAGTATGACTCACTACATGTATTGGGCTGATAACAAGCTGGGACAGTCCCGTGGCCGTCCTGGGGGCCGTGAGATCCTCTGCCACTCCAGGTGAGGTCGCCCAGTGTGAATGTCGACACCTGCCCAAACCAACACTCTGGGGGACATCAGCCGCACGCCAAACACCACTTCCGCCAGCTCTCTTGGCCAACTATTACACACCAAAGTGGGCCATAAAACCGGTCAAATCTCCAGTAGGTCCCAGACGGACCCCAAGGTGCAAATGCCAGTAGTGGGAGGCCAGTAGTGGGAGGGACATGGGGACCGCAGAGGGAGGGGGGATGCCTGCAAGTCACAGCACACCCAGCCCTCCCTGGCCCTCAGTTGTCCCTTTATGCTGGAACAAGTAAGTGACTCTCCATGGCGGAAATGGCTTGGCATGAAGGAGGCCTTATGCCCACCCACCTGGCCACTGGGAGTCGCATCCAGAGACCTGAAGGCAGCCCCCAAACTTGTGGGTGCGGGGAGTGTTCAGACACAGCAGCACTGTCTCGGGCTGGGTCGCGCCCCCATCACCTGGCCAGTCCTGCTGCCAACGCCCTATCTCCCTCTACCCATAAGCACACTATTACGGGCCCCCTCGCTGCCCCCACCTGGCCCTGCATCCTGTCCCCCACCTGCCTGGATGAAGCCCCAGCTGACTTTCTCCGTGGTACTTAGATGAAACAGACCCACCTTGGCAGAAGAGAGCCAGGATTGTGTGTCCATTTAAACTTACCGTCAGGTACAGCATACCTGTGAAATGATAGGTGATGTTCCAGAACAAATGCTCAAAGGTGTCACTAGACATTCAGCACATTCATTTTCCAGAAGGTTTGCCAACCCAATACTTTCCCACACAGAAAGGAACCGATTCTCAGTTCTCTTCAACTAACAACATGCACAGCAGATGACTTTTTTAGCATGATCTACCTTCATGAGTGTGTCCTTATGCAGATTAAGACCCGTCCACCAGGTGCTCCCAATGAGCGGCCATGGAAAAGGTCCGGGAGGGTAGTGCCTGCATCGCCAGAGCCATCTCAGGTACTTCAGGACCATCAGACACGCCAGGACAAGCACCAGTGCCCAAAGCTCCATCATTCTCCGGCCTTTCCCTTCTCCGTCTTCATATACTTCTAGTAGTCTGGATCCGACGTCTCCAATGCCTCCAGGACACTTGGCGCTGCGTCTCCACCAGCTGCTTTCTGTACACCCCACATTTGGAATGCAAGAGACAGGACTTTCTGCGTCTACCTGGCACACGCCCCTGAGCGCGTGGGAGGTGTCAGTCAAGAGAAGAGGCTTGGCTCAGGAACTCAACAGACACATTGCAGGGAGAGAAGTAGCAGCTCCTCAGCCAGTTCTGCTCCCACCCAGCCCAGAGTGAAAGGGGGAAGCGGAGTCAGTCCAGAAACAAAACCCAACACCACTTAGGCCAGGCTGCCGGTGGGCATGGGGATGCAATGCCAGCACGAGGAGGAGGAGACTCGGGAATCCCTTAAAAAGGAGGTGCTCGTTTGGAAACAATCCAGTGCAGGATGTGGGGGGGAAGACAACAGAAGAATGTATTTGCTTTATTATTTGTTTATTTAATTTCCATACTGTCCAAGAGGTGAAGCCAAAGATGCCACCATAAGCTTAGTGAAAATCTTAAAAACAGGAATGGATACATATGGGAAGTGGAAGGACGGACAATTTTATTAAAGAACTGTACACGCAGATAGTCTAGAACTGCAGGAAAACTAATGCTTAGAATGAGCTGAGACAGGCTAAGAATAATGGATGCATTCAAAGTAAATGGCGGACCACCATAAATACAGTGGTGGACCAGCTGCTCAGCCAAGATGGCAGGATACTGACAGGTGACAAAGGAAAAACAGAATCGCTCCACTCCTGTTTTAGCTCCACCTTTTCCCTAAAGAAGTCCCATCTGGCAGAGGTGGCAAAAAGGGGGAAGGCCGGTGTAGCGGGCAGGTAAGCAAGAGATGATCAGGGAATATCTAAGTCTAGATGAATTGCATCCTATTTGGTTGAGGTGGCTAGCAAATAGACCTCCAGGATGGCTACCTATTATCTTTGAAAAAGCCTGGAGAATAGGAGGGGTACCAGAGAACTGAAGGAGCCCAAATTTTGTGCCTATCTTCAAAAGAGGGTAAGAAGATCGATCCACAGAATCACACACCAATCAGACTGACATCAGAACATGGGAAGATTCTTGAAGGGATTATAAAATGTTCATTCTGTCATCTTGACATTAACATAATGATCGCTGAAAGCCATCACAGCTTTGCCAAGAACAAGTCTTACGAATTAATCTTTTTGCATTGATTGATCTGGCAAGTTGGTTAGTCATTTGTGGAAATGCTACGGACCGATCTTGGCTTAGAGCAGGGGTCTCAAACTCGCGGCCTGCGGGCCACTTGCTATGACAGGTGGGGCACGAGGGAGGGGCCCTGCAGCCTTCAAAGCGCCGGCAGCGCCCGGGCCGGCCTCCGGGAGCGACGCGGGATGAGCGGCCCACCACCACTGCGGGGGTGGAATACTTGATGCGGCCCAGCCTCACCCAGACTCTACTTCCAGCGGCCCCCAGGTCAGTTGAGTTTGAGACCCCTGACTTAGAGAACCTTGGTGGAGGGAGAGGCCACAGTCCCTGGCTGGGCACCTGCATGTCCCCAGTGCAACCAGGTCGGGCAGAAAAAACTACAGCCTGAAATCTTGCTGCCCGTCAGTATTGGCAAAAATAGGCTAAATAGACCAATGGCCTGACCAGGTATAAGGCAGCTACCTGTCTTCCTACTGGGCAGATTAAACAGGAATATATATATAATTTATATTTATATATAAACAGGAATATATATTAATCCTGAAAATATATGACAGGAGAATATATATATTTAATATCTTGATTTTCAGCTTGCTCCCTAAAGAGCAGTGACCAATGTATTCCAACCTGCACAAAAGTACCAAGTTTGTGTCATGAATTTTCAGACCAAACCAACTTGGCCAGGCCTGTTTGTCTGCTTCACACGGAGGTTTCCGTTTTCCTCCCCAAAACTGTAGCTGCCCAAGGAAGGTCTGTGCGGTGCTTCTCATGCGATCCCTTCTGTGCTTGCCAGGTGTCCGTACGCTTGTCTGCAGGTAAGGGTGCACTTCTGTGATCTTCCAAGTCTATAATTATCTGCTGTTCCTAATTACTGTTTTCAGAGTACGGCTGTCGGGAAGATAGGAATCATAAAAGGGTTGTGGCAATTGCAGCCTTGCAGTGCAGCTCTGAGCGGAAAAGCCCGCCAGCCCGCCAGCCCGCCAGCCAGGAGGCCTTCAATGAATCCTTCTGACTTGGGTCTCATCCTGAGGGGCCAAGTGCCCGAGCTGCGGGTTGATGGTCAGCTCCAGGCATTTGTGAATGGAAAGGATGATCTAGACCAGGGGTCCTCAGACTTTTTGAATAGGGGGCTAGTTGAAAGGTGCCAGGGTGGGCGTGGGTTGCCAAGGCGGTGCAGGCGGGGGGGGGGGGGTCATACGTGCGCAGAGATCCTTTTCTCCGAGCGAGTCCAAAACGGTCTCCTTGCGAGCAAGCTGCTGCCTCGCCACACGCGCATGCATGCGTGGCAAGCTATGGCGGGCCAGATCGATGGGCATGGCAGGCCAGATCCAGCCCTTGGGCCATGGTTCAAGGACCCTGACCTAGATCCATTTTAACCGGGCTTCAGGCCCGGTCTTGGAACATCAGCGGCCTTGGCCATCTTGCCAGGTGACCTTTGCCAGGAGAGGGACAGGAGCAGCATGGCCGTTTTGGTTCTCTTGGGTTGATCCTCTCTTGGTGGCTTTCAGTACCATCAACCACGGAAGCCTTCCAGATAGGCCAGTGGCACTGGGAGTCAGAGGAACTGGTCACCCAAGGCCCCACTTTTGGCTGGGAGAGGCTTTGCTCTGCTCTGAGGCTTTGCTCTGAGCCTTGGCAGCCACGCTGGGGGGTGGGGGGGGGTCCACGGGGCTCAGTTTTATCCCTGTTATGAACACTGGGGAGATTATCCGGAAGGTGTGGGTAGAAATGACATCAGCTCTATCTCTCCTTTCCATCAAGTGTAGAGGAGGCAACCGTTGCTCTGATCCATGCCTACATGTGGCCATGGGCGGGATGGAGGCCAATAAACAGAGATTCAGCCAAGATAAGATGAAGGCACGGTCTGTGGACATTCCCCCTGCTCAGATGGGAGATCATCAACTGGTTCTGGAGGGGGCCCTCTCCCCCTCAAAGCTCAGGGATGTGGTCTGGGGCTCCTCCAGGATCCTGCGTTGTCCCTAGGGGCCCAGGTGGACTCAGAGCACCTTCTGTCAGCTCAGACTGATATGCTTCGGATGGTTCATTACAGTTCTCCTTGCTCTGGTAGTCTCTCATATGGAGTACGCTGGCTGGCTTGCTTGCTTTATTTATTTATACATGTATTTATAGGCTGCCTATAATTGCCGAGGCCTTCCTAGGTGGCTTACAATACAAAAAACATATTAACAAAGTAAAACACATTAAAGCCAATTCAAACACAACAAATTAAGACATCTATAAAAGCAATATAAAAAGAGCCACAGCACTCAGGCTAAGTGTTAAAAAAAATTCCTTAAAAGGTATGTCTTTTGCCTGGTGCCAGAAGGAAAATAGAGACTGTGCCAGGCAAATTTCCCTAGGGAAGGAGTTCCAAAGATGGGGAGCAGCAGCCAAAAAGGCCCTTCGCCTACTTGCCCCCTGAGAAGTGGTTCTTGTAGAAAGGCAAGTGGATCTAAGGGGGTGGGTGGGTGGGTGTATATGGGCGAGTGGATCTAAGGGGGTGGGTGGGTGTATATGGGTGCAGAGGGTCCTTTACATAGCCAGGCCCCAGTACAGCCCAGAATACTGTCTGGAAACTTCGGCGATTGCTCACAGGGATCGACCCACATGGCCATATGAGGCCGCTACATGGCCACCTCCACTGGTTTGGCCAAACCATGTCCAGGCCAAATGCAGAGCACTGGTATGAACCTTCAGTCTCCAGTGTGGCTCGGGGGCAGGATATCTGAAAGATCCTCTCCTCCCATATATGGCTGCCTGGATCCTACACTCGTTTGCGGTGGCCTTCCTGTAGGAGTCCCTGCCAAGGGAAGTCAGGTAGATGACTACAAAGATCAGGGCCTTCTCTGCGGTGGCACCTCAGCTCTAGAACGAATTTCCCAAAGGGGCTTGCCAGGCACCTAAGCTGTTCTATTTCCAGCACCAGGTGAAAGTTTTCCTATTTCCTCAGGAATTTTAGTGTGAGTCAGTTTTAAATCCTGTGAGGTATGATCCAAGCTCTCCAAGATCTTCCTCTATGGGAAGATGCCTCCTGGTAGGAAAAAATGTGTGTGACTAATCTAAAGGACATTTAGATCCTTTCCTAATTCTTTGGGTTTAATCCTTCTCTGATTCTTTGTGGGATCCTTGTTTGGAAAACCATGCAGCCTGATAATCCTCTCAGCCATTGAAAAAGTATTTCAAATGGTTTTATTTGCTGGTGCTTAGCTTCATTTTAACAGGGAGTTTTTTTGGCTGGCCTTTGTGTGCTGGATTCCAGTTTGTGCCCAAGAGATGCTCAGTGGCAGATGGGTAAAAAAACTCCAAGTAGATGCCTCAGAACCCTGGGGTGTGCCTATAATCAGGCATCGTTAGAAGCCATAAAGGTGGTAAGAGAGCAACACCACACTAAATGCAACCCCACTATGTAATTTTCTGTTCGCCACCCAGCAGAGCTGCCTTGACACCCCCTCAGTGCCAAAACTCGCAGCCTGTGTCCATGGGGGACTCTGGCTCCTTCAGGCTGGGTGGATGAATGTGGACGCATTCACGGTGAGGCGAGCTGAGACTTACCTTCCTGTAGGCAGACCTGCCTTAGGAGCCGAGAGAGGACTAGCTTCTAGAACGAGCAAATATGGGCAAGCCTAGGCTTGTGGTGGGTGAAAGGAGAGGGACTGGGGTGGCCGTCTGTAGGAGCACGTGTGCCACCATGCTCATTTTCCCAGCCTACGAGTCCCGGCAGTGGCTGACGCAGGTGAGGGTCCAGGGGCTTGCCTTGCTCCTCTGGCTGAATTACCCC